CATCAATGTAACTTAAGTCAACATAATTTTGTAGTGTAGGCAGACCCTGTATCAAGCACAGCTCATAGCACTGTTTGGGCTTGTCCGATGTTGTGTTTTTTGATTTTTTGTTACTGTGTCCTGGTGGACCTGGTAGTGGATTGTCCATTCCCTCTGCCAAGTCTAATGCAGTGGTTCTCAAACTTTTGTACTGGCGACCCCTTTCACATAGCAAGCCTGAGTGCGACCCCCCCCCCTGTATAAATTAAAAACACTTTTTTATACATTTAACACCATTATAAATGCTGGAGGAAAAGCAGGGTTTAGGTTGGAGGCTGACAACTTGTGATCCCCCATGTAATAACCTCGCGACCCCCTGAGGGGTCCCGACCCCCAGTTTGAGAACTCCTGGTTCAGTGGATCTGGTCCAGATGCAGGCGAGGTCTCAGTCCAAGTTCCATGAATTTGACAGCCTGGATGCGGCTGGTCGAGCAGCTTGGAGTGGGATTACTGTTAGAAGTCTGAAAAGGAAATCTACAATAAATCTATTTTTCTGTGAAATGGAAGGGATGGTTCCATCTCATCAAGACTGGAAGATTCTGACCTTTCGTCATACTTTTTGTTCTCTCTTTTGTATTTGTGTGTGTGTGTGTGTATTTTTAAACAATCTGGGTTCTTCCTCAGTTGGAAGTGTTCGCCTGGTTCAGATATTAATGGCTGATCTATGTCCAGTGTTCTGTAAGGATAAGGTGGTGCTGCACCCACATCAAGTTCTTGTCAGAAGAGGTTTCCAATTTCTAGTCTACTGGTATTCTTTCCCAAGCCCCATTCGCGACTAGGGAGGCTAGACCACATGGTTTATATATGAAAAGGGCACTTACCGGGTGCAAATTGTGCAATGTAACTGTTACCTGTTGTTGAGTTATGCAAGGCTGCTGCCTAGACTTATCCACAGTTTTACACGTTACTCCCTAGATCTCTTCGATGGTATATATCCTATTTAGAGGGATTCTGGCAATCATTCAGTCAAGTCTTCTCAGAACCCCGTCATCTTTGGGTTTAGGGACCGCTTGCTAATCTACAGGAATGGGGATCCACATGCTCTTGGAGATGGGAGTTTACATAGTAATTGTAACATTTCAATATGATTGTTTGCATGGATTCATTTACCCAGTCCTCCTTCCGTACTGTTTTGGAGTCTTATAATAGATTCTTAATTTTTTAATAGTAATGAAGTGACCGGAGACAAGTGTGCCTCTTTATATATTTTCATTGGTAAAAGGTCTTGTACCCAGTGACCAGACTGATGTAGTGGAGGGTTTGAGAAACCAAATCAGTAGTAAGTAGAATTCCTTTTTAAACTCAAAATATGTAATGTTCTTGATTTTTTTCAGCAAAGTTGACTTAGGAAAAAATTATTTCTGCTCCATACATCTGTTGTTGAAAAATATTGTGCAATTGGTGCATATACAGCCTAGTTCATACTAATGGAACTATTTGGAAGTAGAAAGATGTTTGAGTGTGGAGTAGGTGGGCTAACCATAGTGACATTGTCGTATGCTTCATTTGGGAGAGCCAAATTGAAGAGTGAACTTTCTCCCTTTCTGATGCCCATATGAGTATGTTGTGCTAATATTCTTTTTCTCCAGCTAGAGTGCCAGCCTTTGCAGTTTGACCTGGGTTTTGGTGAGAATGGGGAAGAGCTATTTTCAAAATATTCCTAGTAATAGACATGATACAATAGTAATGCGTGATAAGTAATGTTTATTTACTTCTCTTCCCACTGCTAACTATCTGTAACTTTTCTTCTCTAAAGTGTGCACCTGGTGGTACACCACTTGTAATGGACAAGAGGGCATTCCTCCTTCATCTTCAAAGCACAGAGGCTCCTCTCTTTTTAAACAAAACAAAAAAACCTCTCTAGCTCCACAATGTAGCAGTAGCAGGTGGAGCTGTTCAGAGAACTGATTGCTCCTCTCACTCCCCAGCCATATGCCCAAGTTCAGAAAACAAACATTAAATTCTGATTAATAAGCCTTTATGGCAGATGAATCATTTCCACCAGAATATTTTTCTTGTATCTACTTGTCCATTTATTATACAAAAAATGGAAACGAAGACTTACAACAAAGCAAGATTCCAAGGGGACATCAAGATTTTTCAGTCTCTCTGCAGGAGTGCTCTATAAGGGTAAAAGGGATTATTTTCCTTTCAGAAGCAACATAAGGATCAAGTTAGCAGAATCCCTTGAAATTCCCAGACTCTTGGGTAGTTTCTAGATTTGAGTGGGAAGTCCATGAGCTATCCAGAATATTCAGGTGCTAGAAGGCAAGACTACTGAGATTGCAGGGCAATAGCCTCATGCTGTAGATCTGGGAGTTTGAAGGTATGTGGAATAGAAGTTTTCCTCTGTCCTGGAGATTCAGGGATGCTGAACTGGCACGTGTATGCATCCAAAAGACTGAGTTTCTGGGCCACTAAATTCCCACTAATGTCAAGTGTTCAGTGCTACTCAGTATAGGTAACACGGTGGATACAGGCAGAATTGCACATGGGCACAGTTTCCTTGTAGAAATTTCTTCTTAGGATTTCCATTGTCCTATCAAAAAGGCTTGGACTCCATGCAGAAATGAGCTAGTACTGTCAGTTGTAGACAGAACCAGTATTGGGTGAAACCTGTATGTTCTCTTTCCTGCCAGGATTGGTCTTGAATAAACACCCAAAAAATCTTCAGGAAAAGGAGTAATTGCTTCACTGCTTGTTTACAAGTCCAGTGGAGCTCGGGTGGGGTGATGCTATGATGGATGAAGTAAAATTTATGTGGAGACTTTCTCAGTTTTGAAAGTCCATTTGACTAATGTTTAATTTTTTTAATTTTTATTTAGAAAGCATACTTAGAACAGTTTTATTTCAAAGTGGGGAGGGTTTGCAAGGGGAGAGAATGGTACAGTGCCCTCCCCCTTCTTTCTCTTTCTTTTTTTACCCTTTTGGAGTGCTGCTTTGGTCATTGTACAAAAAGACATCTTATTGAATGCTTGAACTAGTCACATCAGATATGGTAGAGCAGTGAATTACCCAGTCTCACAGTTGTAAAGTTTCTGCTGTTTCTTAAGCTACAGCTATTGCCCCAGTCTCAGACCTGCCCTTTTAAGAGACAGGGAATTGTCTTATGGAAGCAGGGGATGATGATAAGGGGAGAAGAGCAGAGCTTGGCATGAGCAGTGATGCTTGAAGCCCTAATGTTTTATGAGGTTTTAAAGCCTTGCTGAAGTGGTTCTCAACAAAAAATGGTGTGCATCAGCAGGCTGCAACATGGATGAGACCAGGCTCCTGAGTCACTATGGGGGAGATGGGGAACAGTGTTAAATAAGTGGGGAGATGGCAGGCTAAGCCATGCACAAACCTGCATCTGGAGGAGCTGAGAGAACGTAATCAAGCTGCCTTGATTTGATGGTAATTGGTCTCAAATATGGGGAATCTGAGACATTTGAGTGGGGTTTTTTTTTGTTAAACAGATGTTTTGGTTTAAGAGGTTGTGAAAGTCAGAGCTGCCCTCAGTGAAAAGGGGGCTGAGAGAGCTAGCAAGAGGGCAGGAGTTCAAGATACAACAAGGACTGGCTGAGGCCTGTCCTGGAACAGTTGGGACCAAAAATCAAACAAAAACCTGGTTGTTGTGGCAATCGGAGGCCTGATCTACAGTTTAAATTTTGGTTAACATAGCTACATTCTTCAGGTGATATGAAGGTTCCATACACTTGAACATTGTAGTTATGTTGACCTAATCCCCAGCGTAGACTCAGCTATGTCGATGGAAGAATGCTTCAATTGACCTACCTACTATCACTTGGAGAGGTGGTGTTCCTACAGTGACAGAAAACCCCCTTCTGTCGCTGTAGGCTGCATTTACGTAACAGGGTTATTCCAGCATAGCTACAGCGCTGTAGCTATGTCACTGTGTATATAGTCCCTGTAACATATACATGGCCTGAAAGGGTTGGGATGAGGAGAGTGTCCTGCCCCATAGATTTTTCTTGTCCTTCTGACTTACTCTTGAAGACAAGGACACCATATTTCACCCCAGTCAGCTGAAAATAAATAAATAAAACAGCCAAGGACCTCTGGGTTGTTGCTCCCAAAATGCCAGGTATCAACCACATAACTGCCTTAAGCACTTGAAGGATTGCCTGCATATTGTTGCTGTTGCAGCAACGGCTGACTCCAATGTTTCACCTTAGCCTGAAGCACTGACTAGCTAGGAATATATGGCTTGGAGATTATGCAAAGCCAGTTTCTGCTGCTGAATTTCTGCCCTAAATAGCTAATGGCTTGGCTACTACCTTGTTGTTGAGTGGGGGGAGGCACTACAAAATTGCACAGCTGAGCAGGAAGGAGCCCCTTTAATTTTAGCTGGGCTTGCTACACTGCTGAGCTTTTTCTCTTCAAATACCAAATTCTTGCGGGCTCCTGTTCTCAAAAATCCCCTCCCTGCTGGGGAGGGGAGGGGGAGAAAGGGACATATCAAGGATAGAGAAAAATGGAAAAAGCTTTCTGCCTTGAGGGAGAGTCTTAGAAGAACCTTTTGCTTCTCTGAGCAGAGATGAGACACTGCCATGTTGAGGCAGTCAGTTCTATGAACAACTCCACCAGTTGGTACTACATTGTGAGCTAGGAGAGAGTGGGTTTTGGGGTATTTTGTTTTTTAAAAGATCGGAAGATTTTATGGATCATGGAGCATCAATTGTCCACAGCAGAGAAAGATTGGGAGGGCATACTGGGAATCTTAATTTTCTGTGTGTTTGTAAGCAGGAAGGAAAAACATATTGCACTAATATACTTGTATATACTTTCATACGTAGGGTATCTTTATATACATCTTCAGAAATTTGTTTTTTTGATGCTTGTTTAGATGCCTATTGAAAACTAGTTTTCACTGAATTTTATGTGCTTTGATATTAATATGAATTTAGATTTACTGAAAGCAACAAAGCTGACCTGGAAATTTGTATTTATATTTGTTTTAGGGGTTGTTTCATTAGTGGCTGTTCATCCTTCTACAGTAAATACACTTGGAAAACAGCTCCTGCCAAAAACGTTTGGACAGTCTAATGTCAACATTGCACAGCAAGTGGTAAGGAGACTTTAAATTTTTGTGTTTTACCTTTGATTGTACATACTATGAATCTAACTGTGGTTCAGCGTAAATGCATCATATAAAGTATCAGTTATTATTTCTATGTAGAATGTACCATCTCACTTTTCTGTATGGTAAGGGCTGTTTAGTATGACTTTAAATTGTACTCAGAACACTAGTCTTGATAACGTTGTTTTTGTGGGGAGAGGGAGCACACGTTGGGCTAATCGTGCAGGTTATTGACAAAAACTACATCAACCCTCAACTCTTCAGGCTACTGAATATTCAAATTCCTCTACTGTCTGTTGGTCTTTCTGTGATAAATCTGTGACACTTTCAAAACACACCAACCTGAAACTTTATATAAAAGCCAATTTGCAAATATGTTATCAAGATCAAAATTGGAAAATCAATGGGATTTTTATGGGATTTTTTGGCCATATTTTAAAAAATGATTATTTCAGACATTTCTGCTGAAAAGCATATTGTAATTTTTAAAAAAGCAAAATGTGTATAGACTGGATAACTTAAGAAGCTAGTGCAGGGGTAGGCAACCTATGGCACGTGTGCCAAAGGCAGCACGCGAGCTGATTCTCAGTTGCACTCACACTGCCCGGTTCCTGGCCACCGGTCCGAGGGGCTCTGCATTTTATTTTCATTTTAAATGAAGCTTCTTAAACATTTTGAAAACCTCATTTACTTTACATACAACAATAGTTTAGTTATATATTATAGACTTAGAAAGAGACCTTCTAAAAATGTTAAAATGTATTACTGGCATGCGAAA